TGAAGATGCCGGTCACAGGTGCTGGCGAAATATTAGGAAACAAAACTTCAAGAACACGGCCACACAGCCCGGAAGACCCACACCAGCCATCGTATGCCGGCCGTGAAAGCCTTCGACAATACACAGACAGACAATTATTTGCTTTTGAGTCAGACTTACTGCCTAAGTACTTCCAATTCTGTTCAGCAGGATTTACTAAATGGATTAAAGTTTTAGATTTCAATCCCATATTGGGAAAATATTTTTTTCTAAGATCACTAGAATTTATGTCAATTAAAAATGCATAAATTTGGTCTGTAAATTTGTTTTATTGCCTTCAAGGATAGGAGGAAGAGCCGCTACCAAGGCTATGATCAGACAAGCATGGCTGGAGCCCTTTCCAAGAAACTAAGTTGAGCAAATGTCTCAGGCCCCTCCCCAGTTCACACTAAGATAAAGTGAGGGAGGGGGGAAGCACATTTAGACTTGCAAGATTCTGTTACTATAGCTGTTAAAATAAGAGTAGTCCTGACCTATATGGCATTGCTTTCTTAATCTGGTCTACCTTATAGGGTAGCATAACTACACAAATACTATCCTTATTTAAGTTAGCAATATTACTGTTTCAGAGCTTCCACCAGTTTTTTAGTTTTACTGTTTAGAGTATGCTGTATTATTTATTTTTTTAGGTCTTATTCTATATCATGGATGATTAATATGTGTATCATCATCATTATTTAAAGTTTTGTCATCTTGTAATTATTAGTGAATCAACTTTAAATATAAAGCCCTTCTGATGTTCTTATAAATTATCCTTAGTATGATTTGTCATAGAAACATAGCATACAAATAACCATATTATGATAGGGTAAAAAAATCACACTTTAGCCTGAATCATGTATATATTCATTGGTTTCTATAAGTGAATTCATTTCTTGAGTATAAGTTGCACATCCAGCTATCATTCACTCTTTAAATTGAAAAAATCAGATTTCTTATTCTCAAGTGTCTAGTGCGGTACAAAAGTACAAACTTTATGAATATAATTAAAGAAATCTAACTATTAACCGTAATTCTTCCTTGTAAAGAATTCTAAAAGTATTTCTCTGCCACTAAAGGATTGGTATTAAACTTTTCTAAGGTCTAGAAATAAGGTATGAAAACCAAGCATCCTTAACTCTTCTTAACAACAGGATTATTATTTGTACTATGTGAACATATTGTTATTTGTTGGAACTGTTTCACTAAACCATGCTTTACAGTTAGGCAATATATCTGAGTATGAAAATGGTCTCATTGCACCATAATTTAACAACACGAATATAGAACAAGACTGAGTTTATCAGCAACACTCCAGCAATAGATCATATGCCTCCTATTACCCACAAAGAATGTGTTCTAGAGAGACAATAGAAATAAAAACAATCATTCTCCTCCAGTTAATTAGACTGCGTCCATGTTTCATTTATACTGCAAGGATCCTGCAAATTCAAAGTATCCACTCCGATTACACTAAAGTCCTCTAAACATTTGCAGGCAGTAAATTTTCTCTCACTCTGCCCTTTATGTGTTACAATTCCATATAGCATAGTATTTGTGCAAATTAATTCAGAGCTATCTCTCAAACACCAGCATCAGAAGTTCCACACTCAATTTGGTCTTTTATGAATTCATAAGCTTCAATTTGGTTTTCTAGGCATTTTAAATAAATTATATAACACCATTATAGGCATGCTTTCACAGAGGAAGCCTATACGGGTGTTATGATGCTGGGATTAGAAATAGGCTACCGCCCACCAAAGGAACAGTTGTTCTATTTTAGGTCTGGTCTTGCCAAATGGGAAGAGAAAAGCATACAAGTAGAATAAGCCCCCCACCCAAAAAAAAGTTATAAAAAGAACAAGCCCAGAGCACGCTTGGAAACATCAATATTGCCACCTAATCAGAGATTAGTACACATGTATCATCATCAACAACTATACATACATACTTAGTTCACACAATTTACTGTGGACACTCCTAGGGACTCTTTGTGTAGGTTTGGAAAACAAGAGATAGGAAAGTCAAGTCCTCTAGTAGAAGGAAATTAAGTTTTGAATACTGTACTTGAAAGGGGGAATACAAAAGAGAAAGAGATCTTGTGATTAAAAACCCATTCTGAAAATTCTAACTATTCTGTCACAGTAGCAGACAGAAGTCAGGTGCACAAGACATTTGTTTCCCTCCCCATCACTCTTGGCACTGAAGCATAAACGGGAGGAATGCAGAGTATACAGGTAAACCCTATTTCAAACCTAAGTTCCAGTCCAACTGAGAAATGGAGAAGACTCCATATTAAGGCATATGGAAGCCCATCAGTATTATGGTGGCCCACAGGACCTGCAATCAGGGTTACCTCCCTCAGATGGATTGAGCTTACCTGAAGTTTTCCAACACTCAGCAAGTCACACCAGTATGGAACCTTGATGATACACCAAGACAGAAGCTACTACAAATATTAATGGCCCATTAACAGAGAGAAATGGCAGCTCCTTTTCATTGTTTAAATTCTTGCCTCTTTCTCCAGCCCTTCTCTTGGCTTAATGCATTGCACTTTTAATGCTAGGTACCAGTAGGTAAAAGTGTTTATATTCTGCCCTACTTCTGAAGATTTGGGATGCTTTACAACTGATTTTTTAATTATGTGCCATCAACTCAGTGCCAACTTTGTGAGTTTGCTTTTTCTTCTTGCAGACCTTTCATTACCAGGCAGGGTAACATCACCAGTGTATGAGGAAGTGCAGTTTGCTGAATATTTTTATATGGCAACTTGTCCTACCAGCCTTGAATGGATTACTGAGAATAATACATTACATTTCGGATTTATCTCCACCCATCTCCCCCAATGGGAAACTCTGGGCGGCTCACAAAGTACACCTTAACCATTACAACTACAATTGCACTATTCAAATACAACTACAGTGCAACCCTATTCAACTGTGGCCAGCAGCGGTCACAAGGGAGTCAGCTCATCTGGGCTTTCTTCCACCAATGATCTTTTTGCCCGTCGCATTAGTCACATCCAGCATCCGGCGTTCTTTCCGCTGATCGGGTCTAGTACCGGTTCCAGCTTCCCCACACAGGCACCGCCGGTTCCTCCCACTGAAATGGGAGTACCTATTTATCTACTCGCAGATGGAATTGCTTTTGAACTGCTAGGTTGGCAGAAGCTGGGATGGGTGACGAGAGCTCACCCCGTCATGCAGAGCAGGCTCAAACTACTGGAGTGCCCACCATTTCTGGCCAGCAAGCTCCAGCATCATTAAGCCCCTGTGCTACCACATGCCCTGATTATATGTGTCCTGATGCATCATCATCAATGCCGTGATGCATTATCAGTGCCCTGCTCAGTACACTGATGATGTTGCCTAGTTGGGTAATGAAACATCTGCAAGCAAACAACGAAGCTCAGAGAGCACCAAGGACTCAATGGATTATTGTTTGTAAACATCTTGTTTATCTGACTGTTGGTTAATAAGCATGTGATGAAAGAAGATATCTTAGGGCTGTTTGCCCCTTTTCTTGGCCCTTAGTACATTTGGATCTGGCTTGATCTAAAATGTCTACAGTTTCCCTACTGAAATTGTGTTTGATTTTGCCAGTCTGTTGTTAACAGACACAGTAAGTGTAATTCTTCATCCTACACATATCACACATCTATCAGCCAACACCCATATAAGCAAGAACCAGTGCTTGGAAGAAGAAAACAAGCTCAAAGAACACCAAGAAGCCAATAATAACTTTCTTTATTCTTGTAGCTATGTGACACAACTCCAGTGGAATAATAAAATTATAGAGGAGGCGCAGTTGTTTGATGGGTCATCCAATAAATAGTTCAGAATTAAGGGTTTTGGAAAGCCAGTGGGCTTTCTTTTATCCTTTGTATTTTAAAGCAGCTTGAGAAATACTCATTTTTCCCCTGCCTACCTGTTGACTACCAAAGTCCAAATTTAGAAGTGACATTGTTTTATTTCCATTTCGGTTTTGCTTGTATCTCTTCCTAAGAAAGGATCTGTACATCAATCTGCATTTTTTTAAAAGGTGCACAAACATTTACCTTTTAATATTTTTTTTTCCAAAACTATGCATTGCTGTCTGTATTTTATTGTAAAATACCATTTTAGGAACACTGTAATTCAATGTTTGTTACATCTCAGTTGAATCATTACTAGTTAGCATTATTATTTAGCTACTAGAATTACTGAATTTTTAAATATTGATTTGGCCAATATTGCATGGTTTTGTGATTTCAGTATCTCTTATCAAGAAATGTTTCTTGTTTGGCCAATCAATACTGAATCAAACATGTGCTTACTCATCCAAAACGTTCCCAAGATGATCATGTGACTAAATATGATTCTCTATAAAACAGGTACTTGCAGTTTCTAGTTGACGTTCCCTTCCCATAATGAAAGCTGTAATTTTAGCACTGGCATTGACCCTTGTGGGTAAGTAAGCATTTTAATTCAAAATGTTTCAAAAATAGAACCTTAAAGAGACTAGTACATTTTCATCAGAACAAATAATGAAAAAAATTACACATTAATGGAAATGTTAAAAGCTCTGCATGACTAGGGCAACATTAACTCAAAATCCCCCAAACCCTTTATGTTTCTTATACCTCTGTATTTTTTTTAAAAATGGAAGAATTTTTTCTCACAGAAATAAAAATATTTTTTTCTCATTTGACTTTGATTTTTATCTTTCAGGTTGCCAACAACAAATTGCTCATAAGTATATTCCCAGGCTAGCATTATTTCTTCTTCTTCAGAAATAAAATAACTATATATAATTTTAAAAGCCAATTTATAAGTATATGTATGTATGTATGTATGTATGTATGTATGTAATAGTATATTTTCCACATATTACTTTATCATTTGTTTGAATTTTCACAGAAACTGATCTAAATCCCAATAAAGTTTTATCATATTATTATGAATTTCAAATTCAGAACAGAATGCCTGAAAAAGGCTTTTCAAGTGCTGGAATAAAGGTTATGTGTCAAGCAGAAATTGGTCATGATGATCAAGGCCAGAACTTTCTACAGGTAAGGAAAGAAGTCTAATTTGAAATTGATTTTTCTCTATGCTGTTTTCAAGTTTTGGAAGGGAGACAAAGCATTAATTTTTCCAACTTAGAATACATGTTCTGTTTTATGTCCTGATATAAATGCCTTATCACACTCTATCAGATCAAGCTAAACAGACTTGAAAGGTGTACTCTGCAAAAGGTATAATTTCAGATGCACAGTCATTTTTGCTGGATCAATTCTATTTTTTCCAAAATGTTAGTGCCAAGTTATTTCATTAAATGATTTTCATATTGAGCAAACAAAAATGTTTAAATCTGCGTGACTATTTCAATACTTGCAGGATGAAAACCACTACTGAGGCTTTACTTTGCAAGTTTTCTTTTTTTGAAAGAAAGCCTCAAAGCCTTTGAGTCAAAGTTGACTCCTGGAAACTGCCTGGACAAGTCCCTGCAGTTTTCTTGGCAAGGATTTTCAGAAGTGGTTTGCCATTTCCTCCTTCCTAGGGCTGAGAGAGAGTGACTGGCCCAAG